TAGCGCTTTTCTGCACACTCCACTCAAAGCGCTTTAGAAGTAATGGGGATCCCCTCCACCACCACCAGTGTGCAGCCCCACTTGGATGATGCGCCAGAACGCTCCCCACACACCAACTCTCAGTGGGGAGGAGAGCAGAGGGATGGAGCCAGTTCAGAGAGGGGGATTATTAGGAGGCCATGATTGGTAAAGGCCAGGGGGGAAATTTGGCCAGGACCCCCCTACTCTTTTTCGAGAAACGCCCTGGGATTTTTAATGACCACAGAGAGTCAGGACCTCGGTTTTACGTCTCATCAAAAGGACGGCGCCTGTTTACAGTATAGTGTCCCCGTCACTATACTGGGGCATTAGGACCCACATGGACCGCAGGGTGAGTGCCCTCACTAAAACCGTTGCCCTGCGAATCAGGAAGCTGACAGGCCAACCACATTCAGTCCAGCGGCTTAAAGCCCTTATTGCTCTGCCACCACTGTCTGTGCAAGGGGAGGTCTGGCTCTTTGCTGCTGCGCTGTGACTCACCTGTCTTTTCTCTGGGTCCCAGGTGCTAGATCTGCACGAGAACAAGCTGACATCGCTTCCTGATGAGATCGGGCAGCTGAAGGCACTCCAGGTCAGTGGGCCCTGACGGAAATCAATACAACCGTCGGTACATGGCAGGAGACTAACTGGCGGTTTTTCCATTCCAACAGGAAAATACTTTTGCTTAATGTTTGAACGGCCAACGTAGCCTTACCATCAATACAAGCCCCACAGTTTAGTGACCCACTTATGAGGGACTAAAGTCACAAAGAAATAAGCAGATGCAAAGTCTGAGAACTGTTGAAGGGGAACTTCAAGGCTAGTTTTATATTTCGGGGTTAGGAAAAACCAGCACTGAGGAGTGCATTTCACACCACAATAGCAGCAACTTGTAAAAAAACCCCAATTTAGTTCACAAAATAGATTCAATCTCCATGTCAGCGCAGCGCCATGTTCTGTGATTCAGAACCGAGGCAACATAACTTCTGGTGAGGCGACGCGGCCTTATTATTGGAAACAAGCAGGCTTGTGAATGAACTGTACCTCTTTTTATCCGGTAGACATATTGCTCTCGCTTTCGAGACGGTTTTGCCGGGAAATACTACTTAGTTGTTAACTCTGCCTGCAGATCACGTTGGAACATTTCTGCAGTGAAATGTCTGCTGCACAACCAATTTATTCGCTCGTTCATCACAGTGCATTAGTCATTACAGTGACTAGTGAGCAGGAAGGGCCTCACCAAGGAGGTGAAGCGGCCCTATGACACTGTAAACAAGCAGGCAGTGCTGTAGGACTCATGTCCCGTGTTATTCATATGGGACCGGTAGTGGGAGTTCTGGGCACACGAGGTCAGGCTGTCCCCTGTGTCTACCCCTCAGGTGCTCAACTTGGAGAGGAACCACCTCCATGCACTCCCAGAATCCATTGGGGACCTGCTCCAGCTGCAGACGCTCAATGTGAAAGGTGAGGGTTCAGAGGTCAAAGTCTGCTTCCGCTCTGCGGCTGTTTCTCGAGTGACGGACCTGACCCGTTTGACGGTCCTTTATTTCCGGCTGTGCAAAAGCAAAAAATAGTCGCGCGTGTTACGGGCTCGGCCCGAGAGGTTTATGGCAGTCAGTGCAGGAGAGCTTTGTCGCCCCAGGGAACGCCCTGACTGAGCTACCGTCCACGGTGGGCTGGATGGGCAGTCTGCGCACCCTGGACATCAGCGAGAACAACGTGACAAGACTGCCCACTGCTCTGGCCAAAATCCGCACGTTGGAGGTGAGGAGGAGGAGGAGGAGGGATGGGAGGGGACAGGGAGAGGGAGGGGAAGGAAGGGGAGGGATGGGAGGGGAGGGGGAGAGATGGGAGGTAGGGGAAGGGAGGGGAGGGGAGAGGGTGGAGGGTCGTGAAGTGACCACTGGGATTGGAACTTTTGGACTGGGATTGGATTGCCAGTTCAACAGCATCGCCTCTTTCCCCGAGCCGGAAAAGGCTGGGGGCGGGATTTGTTCCCTGCGAGCATTCATCGGTTAACGGGGGGGGGCGTTCCTCTCCTGTCCGGCAGTGTCTGACCCTGGACGCGG